GTAATTTTGTTTGGCTGAGGGCTAACCGAGAGACCTACCTGTGAGGGAAATTTTTGAGGGACATATCTGCAAATCCGTGAAAATACAGGCCCGGTACTAACTCGATTCCCTACAGCTACCCTAACTACGGATAGCAGGTCCGGGCTACCCTTAGTCAGACAGGTCCTATGGGCCTATTCTGAATAGACGGTCCTATAGCCTATAGCCAGGTCCGGTAGAGGCCGAGAGGCCGAAACAGATACGGTACCGTCCGGTCTAGGTCGGTGTAGGCTAGAAGTAGGAGGGGCACATCGGTTCAGGGCTTTTGGCAGTTGGTACCGCGTACATCGCTGCTGCGCTGCGTGTGAACCGGAAGTGGTGACGGTTCAGCGTGGAGGGGGACGGACATAGCCAGACCTTCGAAGCACAGGCCATAGCTGGGGCCTGCGCTGTACTCTGCCAGCACGTAGGGGCTGACAGAGGTCTGGGTTATTGGGGTCTGCTGGAGGCGAGAGAGATCGGTGCCCTGCTGGACCCTCCTCCGGAGTGGGGTCCCAGAGGGTCTGCGCTGTAGCCATAGCTGCAGCTCTCCATCTCAGAGGTCATCCTGTCAGGGTTTGGTGGCGCTGCTGCAGGCTTCCACCCGGGAAGCCTCCCGACACTTCGTCATCATCAGATACTGTGGCGCTGGTCTTCTTCTTCATCCTCTGAGTGGCGCTTGGCCTCAGAGGCCTGTTTCAGGGTGGCGCTGCCCCCAGGAGGCTGTATTTGGGTGGCGCTTGATGTTTCAGGGCTCAGGGGGTGTTACGGGTGTCTATCAGGGTTGGAGAGTGAAGCGCTGCTCAATTCTGAGCAGCGCACTGTAGTTCTGAAGTGATCCTGACATTTCGAGACTCTGAGTTTAATAAACAGTGTATACTGTGTTTGGACTATCATCGTTTCATTGGTTCCTGGATGTGATCTGCTCGGCTTTTCTCTATGACTGGCTGTGAGGATTGAATGGAGTGAATTGCACTTTCAGTGTACCCTGTCATATCGCATGGACAAGTCTTCCGCTGTGTTTATCTCTCCTTGTGCGGTGTGATACTCCTATCCTCTCCCCTTCCTTCTGTGTGTGTATGGGCATGTGTAGAAGTTTATGTGAGTGAGTGTTGGCCTTCAGGCAACGTACAACCAGAATCATAACAGACAAGCCACGTCCTCAGGCTCCTCTTGGGCTCTTGAAGCCCCTTCCGATTCCGGAAAGGCCTGGTGAGAGCCTGTCCAAGGACTTCGTGGATACGCTGGTCACCAGCAAGAGTGGGATGAGACACATCTTCGTCATCGTGGATAGGTTTAGTAAGTATGCTAGATTAGTAGCCATGCCGGAGACTGTGAAGACCGAGTACGTCATCAGACTGTTTAAAGAGAACTGGGTCAGGGATTTTGGTTTACCCGATTCCATAGTGAGTGACAGGGATGTCCGATTCACTAGCGAGTTGTGGAAGGCCGCTGCTGCGGAGCAGGGAACCCAGTTGCAGATGACCTCTGGAAATCACCCAGAGGCCAACGGCCAGGCCGAGCAACTGAACCGCGCTGTACAACACCTGTTGAGGCATTACATCAAGCCCAACCAGGTGGACTGGGGAGCCTGCTCTCATCGCCAGCCTGTACAACAACGCTGTTCACAGCGCTACCGGGGTGAGCCCAAACAGCTTACTGTTGACTTTCAAGCCTAGACTGCCCTTAGACTTCCTTCTTCCTGAGAATCAGTCAATTGCTGCACTAGGTACCCTCGAATTTGCCTATCGGTATGAACAGAAGATGCAGCAGGCAGTAGAACAGATGCAGAAGGCACAGGCGGCAATGATAGAGTCTGAGAATAAACACCGCCGCCCTTCTACGTTTCAGGTTGGGGACAGAGTCTGGGTTAAGTCCTCAGAACTGGGACAGGAGTACGGGATTTCCCGCAAACTTATGCCTCAGTACTTTGGGCCTTGGGAAGTCTTAGACGTTGTTGGGACTGATCCGGATGGGCCATCTTATGTAGTTCGGATCCCTGGTCATCTTCGCACTTACCCTGTCTTTCACGCCTCCAAACTTGCACCTTTCAAGGAAACAGATCAGTTTCCATCTCGTCGATCAATGCTGCCCCCAACCATGGATGGAGAGGTCGACATAGACGACATTGTGGATCACAGGGAGCTGCCCGTTCCAAGACCTACAGGCAGGGGACGCCCTCCTAAACCGAAGCTGCAGTACTGAGTTCGGTTCCGACATCATCTGGATCCAAAGGAGGACCGCTGGTTCACAAGGGGGGAACTCATGCAGACCGCTCCTCAGATAGTAGCTCAATATGAAAAATCTCTGCAGAAAGGAAAGCGCCAGATCATTGAAGACTGAACTTCTCAGAGGACTAGCGAAGTTATGGAGGCGGGAATGCGAGGCCTATGCCCCTATGAGCCCCTCTCAGGCCCTGCCAAGTATCACGTCGGCCGCCCTAAGTGAAGGCAGGCACGACGAGGGCCTGAGGGCCCC